GGCAGAACAGCCCTTTCCTAGTGGGATTTACCTGTTTTATTGAGGTTCATTTAATTAAGGGGTAGGGCATTCAATAAGGGGGAGAAATATTCAGGATTTTCCCAGGAAAAGGATGGAGATGTTTTGGAAGAGCCCCTTCAGCCATATTGTGTCCTTATGTGGGCTTTCTCTTTCTGATCATGGCAGTGTAGGGTGTGTTGTTTAGTATGCTAATGTATTACAATGAGTGCATAATAAGGCTAGGGGTTACTGCAAGGTGAAATTAGTTCCCATGTTGGATTGAGTTGATCTGCTGTCAGTTCTAAGCCATAAATCTGTTGGGGGTTGGTCTAAATATCTCCATGGTAGTCCTGTAGCCCTTTATAGGTTACAGCTGTTTTGCCACATACCCTATTTCACAATCACATCGATTACTTATTTGTAAAATCTCTTCTAGGGATGAGTTATATGCTCTGATGGCTAATCTTTTATACTTTATGTTGTATTTATGTTGGGTTCATAAAATAATGTTTTTTGATTTTATCATCAAATTCTGAAGATATTTTGAAACTGTGAATTCCTTTAGGGTCCCTGAAACATTTTGGAGATGGAGATGGGGGATGGGTGAAAAAGGTGAAGGGGAATAGAGTCAATGATATTGTGGTAAGTTTTCAGGGTGACAGTTAATTACTAGACTTGGTAGGGTGATCACGTTGTAACATATGTCAAATCACTGTATCATACACCTGAAACTAATATAACATTGTATAGCAATTATACTAAAAAGATTGGGAAAACACCCCCACCACAGAAACAAAAACAAACAAACAAAAACAAACCAAGAAAGTTCAAGGCAGTAAACCAGGATTACTTATCCACAATTTTAATCTAACAGGAATTGTTTTTCTCTAAGTCTTTTCTGTCAATTGCAGGAATTTAATGAGGACCTACTGTGTGTCTGGAGTTGTGCTAGATGCTTGAGGAACACAAAAGAAGTTTCAGATACAGTCTCTGGAAGAAGCAGTCATTTTAGTGAGTAATGGCTGCCATCTATTGAATGGTCCACATTCCAGGCCGTGTAATATAGACGTCATATACTTTACCTCCAGTTGACATGACAGTCCTGAGATGTACCTTTTTCTCCTTATTCCAATCAAGAAACTGAAACTTACTTAGTTAAGCAACTTGTCCAATGTCCCATGGCTGTAAAATCGAGGATTCAAATCTTACTCTGCTTGAATCTGAGGCTGATTCTTTCTACCCCCTACCATACCTCAAAGAATCCAAACACAGGGCAGAATGGAAGTCTGTTGGACCTAGAGAACAAGCAACTTTTTTTTCTTCTTCTCTTTCTTTCTTCCTCTCCTCCTCCTCCTTCTTCTTATTTTTAATTCAATCTATGTTAAACTCCAATATTAGATTCCTGGATTAGTGAAAAGGGCTTCTGCATTTGGTGATGATTCTATTCAGGGGTTTTTGGTTTTTCTTCAGGAAACATAGCCAGTCACACCAGCTAATATTTCACATGAGCTCTCAAGTTTTTCTTTTTATAAGAAGGTAATAATATTGCATGGCATAAAAGGAACATGATGACTAGCTGTTAACGCCACAAAACTGCATTATAGCTTTTATATTCACTTACAATTTCCATCTGAAGAAAGTGGAGAGGAAGCGTGCTTTGCTGGAGACAACTAATGGCCCCATGTTGGGAAACAATGTTGCACTAGTATAAGGTTGGGCTGCAAATGATAAAGCCTCTAAAATTCACAGTGGCTAACTAAATAAGGTAGAATTGTATATTTCACATAGAAATCCAGAAGACAGCCCAGGGCTGCTGTGACAGTTTATAGAACAAGACTGTTGGTACCTTGCTGCATCTGACCTTGATTTTGATCTCCAGGTCTAAGAGCCTTATATCCCTGTCTTAGGCAATGGATCCGGGGTAGGGAAGAAGATGAAGGGGCAAAAGCCGTCTACTTGCTGTCTCTGAAGAGGTGGCCAGGGAGTGCCTTACAACACTTCCGCCTTCACCACATTGGCCAGAAATTAGTGTTATGGTTGCACCTAACTGCAAGGGAAAAAACAGTCTTTAGTCTAGATGCTATATGCTTATTTTAAAAATAAAGGAAAGGAGGATGACTGTCAGGGGACAGCGAGCAGTCTGCCACCAAGGCCATGGGATTTGGCCCTAGCCTTTCTGATCCTTTCTCAAACTTTGAACATCTGTAGCCACTAAATGGACATTTGGTGCACAGTGGAGCCACTAATTCTATATAACGTTGAAAAAAATATTCACCACAAATTAAAAATGAAGACAAAACAAAATACATTAAAATCAATAATAGTCTTGATTTCATCTTAGTGCGAGGGATGGTGCTGTTTGCTTCTTTCACCGAAAACATCATTTCTGAGGCCCTAATGAAGAGCTGGGCTGTTGGTCAGCTGTAGAGATCTTTTTTCTTACTTTTTATTTTCGCTAAATTAGAAAATCTGAATTACAGTTAGAAGTAGCAACAAGTGATCGATGACTCTGTCTATTAGTTCTGGATATTGCAACCATAGATGGACATGGAAATTGAGGAGATTTCTCGCTGAGGGCCACTTCCCTTGTTTTGTCATAACTATGTCTACTTGGCAGCTGAAAGGTTGAGTATTTCATCTTAGGACTGCCTCATAGATTCTTTACCCATGTTTTGAGTCAGTTTTAGTCTAAAAAGCTTGTCTTTATGTCCTGTTGCAGCCCTTGGATGTGATTTTAAACTGTGCTCAGTAACATGTCACACCTGCCTTTGGTGAGAGGAGGAAATCACCTGATAGAGTGTAGACGGCCTGAATTACAATACTTTTTGTCACACTGTCTGTGTAACTGTGGACAAATTATTTAAATATTTCCTGCCTTGGTCTCCTCAACTGTAAAATAAAGATGGTGACATTACCTCCTTCACAGCATGGCTGGAAATATTCTGTGAGCTAAAGCATGTAATCGCCTGATTCTGTCCTGACACATGATACACAATTAAATAAGCATCGTGGTTATTGTTATTCTTTTCAGGTATATGTAAACTCTAGACTATCCTGACTTTCATATCATAGTTTAATATTCTTGCAAAATCCTGGCTTCTTTTTTATTCTTTTATCTTATAAATCATCTGCTTTTATTCCTGAAGAAAGGAAAGGTTCTGGGTGTTTAAATTACTGAATATATTGTAGAGCCACCATTCAAAATCATAGAAGTATTCTTCATTTACATTATGAACATCATAAAATGCCTTTTTATTTTATTCATCATTTCAAAAACATATGTGAGCCCCATGATAGTCAGCGTACATCAGTGGGGAAAACAGTCTTGTCACTTAGTTCTCTGCCTGGCACGCTGGCAAGGCAGGTGGTCAGAGGCTGTGTGTGGATGGCTTCCACTATTATCGTCAACACTAAACCAGGACTGGAGGGTGAGTGGTTGACCACCAGCTGGTCTCTGTGAATGAAGCCAGGGAATGATTTTCAAAAGGAACAGCTGGTTTTATGTGAGCAGTGACATCTTTGTTGAACACACAGTTGGTGCCTTCTCAGTGCTGGTCTCCTGTATCCTGCTTCACAAAATACTCAGTAATTTAATAAAAGCCTCCTTTCCCCTGTAGCGTGAGTTTTCCGGGGGTAAGTGGAATAAGCTGCAAGCACGCCCCTCTGTAGAGCACACTCACTAGGTCCCCAATTCCCACTCTGCCCCTCGGAGGCTGTACCCTAATGCATGTTGGCCAGCACACCAGGATTTTCCCACTATGGTGCACAGGTTTGAGGTGATTTCCAACAGTCATTTGATGAGGGAATTTTGCTATTATTTTGTTCTACTTTCTCTGTGGACACAGTGTTCATGGTTAACTTTTCAGATAGTCTCAGACGTTTCTCACAAATGATAGGGCATTTGTCCATTTTTCCTACTTGTTCTGGTCTCTTTCATTCTTTATGGATAAAAGTAATTAAATTATTGTCAGAAAGTATTTTTATGCTGTGTGCTCTTGTTCTGAAAAAACAAAAACAAAAGCAAAACAAAACTGAGGCTTTATTCGGAGATGAGTAGAAACTAATGGCTTCATGTCATAACCTGACCAATATTTATAAAAGACACTGCGATCAGGGCAAAATGGATTGTTGAGTCATTAAGTCCTAATTTTCAGTCCTGAGTGGTGTGGCTCAGTTGGCTGGGCATCATCCCATGAAGAAAGTTTGCTGGTTTGATTCCCGGTCGGGGCATGTGCAAGAGGCAACAGATTGATGCCCCCCCACCCCCCTTTTTCTCCCTCCCTCCCACCTCTCTAAGAACAAATAAATAAGAGCTTTTTAAGAAAGACCTAATTTTCAGATACTCATCACTGCATTTCTGTTCCTTACTTTTCATTTTTGGGTGAAATCAATATACTCACAGAACCATTTGACCTGGGACATACTCGTACATTCACACTTTATGCTCACACTGGAGCCCTGTTCATGACTGATGTTTATGTTACTATCTGGAGTTATACTATTTACATTGTTACTTATATAATTACTGTTAGGCTTAGGTGAACCACTTTTGTGGTTTGGGGCTATGTCCAAGCACAATAGTAGAATAAAAATATAAACTTAATGAGAAACAGTGAAAATATGTGAATGGAGACAAATGGCAGCTGTCACTGAACGCTGGAAGAAGTGAAGCAAGTAACTGCTGTTAAGAGTTAATAGGATTTTTATGAAAATCATAATTACTTATATTTCAAATCTGTCAACACAATGGTTTAACTTTTCTTTTCCCCTGAAGCTACGAACCCCCAGGGACCACACTCTGGGGACGTCACCCTATGGGTCGTATGAGAACGTTTCCGGATGGAGTATGGGTAGGAGGTGACTGGCCCCTGGTGAAGGTTAAAGAGAACAAAAACCAGAAACTGAAAAAGCTCCTGCTTGGGCCTTCTAGTTTGGGGAGCCAGAAATTTAAGCTATGTTCTTATAAGTGTTTCCATTTCTTCTTCCTTTGTACATTACAGAGTAAAAGCCAAGGATCCATCTTTGTCCGGATACACGCCCCGTGGCAGGTGCTGGCCAGAGAGGCAGAATTCTTGAAGATCAAAGTTCCCACCAAGAAAGTATGAACATGTTTCTTCTGAGTTTGGGGACCTCTTGAGGGATGGATAAATGTGAATAATTTGGGAACAGGGTGAGGTGGGACAGGGGGTTGATGAAGTTGAAATCACACCTACCTCCCCAGGGAGCCTACGCATGGGGCAGTGATGTGGGTGGGGCAGGAAAGGGAGCTGGGGTAGGGAGAGGGACTGGGTTTGGAAATCCTTTCACGTCAGAGCTCCATCTGGGACGTTCTCCATGAGAAGCCAAACAGTGCCCTGATCCAGCTTCTTGATTTCTTCCATTATACTTCCTTTCTCCCTCTTCTTGGGGTCCCAACACTGCCAGGCATTTATTTTAAAGCGAATGTAGCAATAAGAGCAGACAGCAAACCATGCTGTTGGGTCAGCTGCATGCAGGGAAAGTGCAGCAAACTTGCTGCGGATATTCTCGTTGTGACTCTGCCTCTAAGCATTGTGATTGGTGGGTTTTGCTGGCCTCTTCTGTACAATAGAAATCTCCCCATCAGAAGAGTTGATCAAAATTATTTGGGACTAGTTTTGAAATGTTCATACCAGTGTCCCACCTTGGGATTTTGATTTTTTTGGTTGGTATGAAATGAGGTTCTGGCATCAGTGTTGTGGAAAAAGTCCCCAGGAAGTTGTGATCCATATCGGAGTTGAGAGTCACATAGTTTAGATGATTTTTGATGTCTTTTTCAGCAGATATAGTCTATGTAGAATTTAAAAACCTTTTCAGGGAATTCCTAGGTGACAGTCTTCTTGTAAAACAAAATCCAGCAAACGCCTTCAGAAAGAAAAAACATGGCCACGGAGTCACCATTCTCTTTATTAGGCATTTCAGGGGATATGTTTGGGTATTGGCTTTGGCCATTTGAGTTGTCTCTAAGAAGGGTTGTGTGGCAGATCATCCAGTTTAGCTTTTGAGTTTAACCGTGAGTGGTCTATGGTGGTCTCTCTCTTTATCTGTCTCTATCTCTCTCTACCTCTTTGTCTCTGTATCCTTGTCATACATAGACCCCCACACGCACATACACGTACCCATAGTGTCATTTCACAAGTGGCGAGCAACCGTTGCAGAAATCATCTTCCTCATTCTAACTCCCATACTTTCCACCCTCCCCCTCACTGACAGAACTCCACCTTGCCTTCTGTACCACAATATCACCTGCCTTTGTCACCATCTTCGCTATCATTGGCATCCGTATAGTCAGCAATGCCATTCTGATTAGCTCTGTTGGCTATGCTTACACTGTCTTCACTACCAATAGATTTACCATCTCCTTCAAACATCACTCATCAAGTACCATCACATGTGATGTCATTGTGAATCCCTTACTCAGGGAGGATAAAGTCTGGGGGTTCTGTTTTATACAGGTTTATTAAGATAGATAATACCTCCATGGCAGGTAGACACATGACTAGTAAACAATGAACAAACACAGACATGAATATTGGCTACCAACTTCTGCCAGTAAAATGCTTTGGGGTCACATGCCTGAGTGTTGTGGTTTCCTAAGGACCACACCATGATCTTTTCTCCTGCAACTGTACTGCATTGTCCTTTGTCTCGTAGTTTTAAACCTTTCCCTCCAATTACTGCTGTCCTCAGATGCAGTGTGTCATCTTTGTTCTAGGTTTTCGTTCCCCTTCCACTGATGTTCTCCTAGTCTGCTGGCAACATGACCCAAGCCTTAGCCTTGGATAGATGCTTCTGCTTTTCTCTGATGATGTCCTACCTTGGCCAACCCTTTGTCTTCTCTTTACTCTGTCTTCCTTCTAACTTCAGTATATATATTTATTCTCCTTTCTCTGGTTTATCTGACTATCTAATGTTCTGTTAATCTCTAAGATGCTGTTTGCATCTTACTTCCTGTGTTTTTATCTTTGCTGGCTGGTCCACGGAAAGAAGGTGAGCAAAACTCTTAACGCCCATGCGACTGCTTCTGTCCCCAGGACGAGCCTGTTAGAAAGAAACCTAGAGACACGGGAGAAGTGTGTATCCTTCTACTCACCCCTCTTTGTTTCTCTTTCCCATCTTTCACTCCTATGCTTTTTCTTTCCTTCTTCCCTCTCCCTTCCACCTCTCTCTCCTGATGCCCCCCACCCCAGCCTTCCTCTTGGTTCCTTGAACACCCTTCCACAGCTTTCATTTCTGTACCACTTTCTTCTTTTTCTCATTCCCAGACTCAGTCCCCAAGTAGCCCCTGCTGCGTCTCCCTCTGGTCTTTGCTTGGCTTTTCACAAGCTCATACCTTTGAGAGCTTATCTGCATTTGGAGTTTATATGAGCCCCAAACATTTATCCTATTGGAACCTACCATCTATAATTTAGGTGGCACCTGCATTTGAATTTGTAGATGAAATGATGAAGGCAAGGATATATTATAATATAGCTATCTTTGAGTTTCCCTCCATTTAAAATTTTTTTTTGCTTTTATTTTTTATAATTCAAATATGTTTGACATATAGCCTCTTATAAATTCAAGATGTCCAACATGTTAATTTGATACATTTATCTATTGTAACATGATTGCCATTGTAGCAATAATTAGCACCTCTATTACATTACGTAATTATTTTTTCTTTGTAGTTGTTGGAATAAGTAAGTTCTAGCCTCTTAGCAAGTTTGATGATTATAATACAATACTGCTGTCTATATTCACTCTAGTGCTTATTTACTCTAGTGCATTAGATCTCTAGGGCTTATTTACTACTTGTGGCAAGTTTTACCCTTGAACATCTGTTCTATTCCCTTCCCTCCATTCTCTGGTAACTGATATTTTACTCTTTGTTTTTACAAAGTTTAGATTTTTAGGTTCCACATGTAAGTGATATCATTCAGTCCTTTTCTTACTCTGATTTAATCTCACTTAACATAATATGCTCAAGTTTCATCTATGTTGTTGCAAATGGCAGGATATCCTTCTTTCTCATGGCTGAACAATATTTCATCCTGAATATACACAGTGTCTTCTTTATCCATTCATATGTTGATGGGCACTTATGTTTTTTCCACCCCTCCTTCCTTTTTATTTTGGAGGCATAGTATGGTAGACACTGCACTAGAGAGTCCTCAGAAGGCCAGACTTTTAGCCTTGGTTCTGCACTTATTTGCTGTGTGACTTGGGGGTATCACTTCATCTTTTAGAGCTTCAGTTTCCTCATCTGTGATATGGGCATAATAATACCTGCCCTATTTTTCTTAGGAGGTTGTTGTAAGAATCTAATTCTTAACCAGTACTATGGCAGTACAGGAGTTTGTTATTGTATCTGTGTTCTCAAATCTTTTTTTTGCATATTTGAGTCCCCAGTCAGTTTCCTTCCTGACCCAATAGGCAGCCAACCTGATGGAAATCCTACAGTAGGAGAATCTTTGGGGAGACCCTGAAGGGCACAGAAGTAATCCACGCTCTCAGAGAGCTCAGAGTCAAAGGCACAACAGGAAGAATGCATGTGCCCACACATCAAAACACTAATTCTACAGTTTGTCATATAGCAACTCCTTAGCCCAGGACAGATTCCGCTTGTAAATATGTCGGTCCAGGGAATCAGGAGAACAAAGCCAGTTGGTGGCTCCTGCCAGGCTCCATGTATAACAGAAAGAACATTTCCCTGTAGTTTCTGAGCCCCAGATGTGACATAGCTGGACAGTTCTGGTATCCTTCTGTAGATTCAGTCACATGACCCTAATCTTTGTATTCATAGACTGCAGTGGCTTTTTGTTGACCTCACAGTGGGTGTCATAACCAGGGGACCGAAACAGAACTTGGTGTGCTGGGTAGGATGCATATGTTTTTAAAAGTTAATCTGAGACCTGATTGCAGGGCAGGGGTGGGGGTGAAAGCTGGTTCCTGATATGAGAAAGGAGCACAGAGGGAAGGATGAGACAAGAACGTCTGTGGAGGACAAGTGTTGTGCCTAGTGGCATTTTTCTCCTTTTTAAATGAGTCTGGAAAGTGACCACAATGAGAAGAAACTACATTTGCAGAGAGCCACACCCTGGCGACTGGGGGAACATAGAGGAAGACTGAGGCATAGTATGGGACCATATAAGCGTCCTCCAGGCCTGTGGAAGCTTGTGTCATAACTCAGTGGGCTCTGGAGAGACCAGGAAGATGGGGAGGAAATCACGAAATCAAGATCTCAAACCTGGACAAATCCATCGTAATGTGTCTAGGGATTCAGAGTCTTGAGCACGGATATTAACTGGGAGGGGGAGACTTGGAAGGAAGCATTTGTTTTCCAAAAACAACAACAGAAGAGCCAGCATTTATAAGGGACACTCATCCATGCACAGGAAGAGGGTGGGAAGGCCTGGCCTTTGGCCCCAAGCAGCCTGGGAAGGTTTGAAATGGTTGCTTTCTCACCTCTGCTCATTACCAAGGTGGCCTTTCTAGACTGTGCTCAGCATCTATGTTTATTTCTCATTCACTTTCATATATATATGAGTGGATACTCCCCTTCCTTACCTCTTAACATTCTCTTATTCTCCAAATGCTGCCTACAGCAGAGACAAAGCCAGGAATGGATGAGGGGGAGATAACCAAGTCCATTTTTATCAAGGAAATCATGTTAATTCAGGCAGAGTCCACTAAATTGCTAAGTGACATGTCTGGGATGGGTGAAAGTCACTTTTGTCCATTCAGTCAAAGCTTTTGTAGCTATTATTAATAGTGTAAGTAATATCGTACGGGTCATGCATGCTGTCCCCAGCAGCTTGTAAGGACTTTAGCTTTTGAGTCCTTCCCATGCAAAGAGATGCTTTTAACTTCCAGCAAGTTATGCTATTCTTAGGAGTCTAGGTTCAGAGCTCCCCTCATCTCCAAACCAGGAGTAATAAATGTCTCTGAGAGCTGTTGTTAGGAGCAGTGATGATATACTTAGGATGCCTAGCATAGAGGCACATGCAACACAAGATAATTGCTATTATTGCTGTTGTTGGTATTGTTGTTCATATATGATATGTTGGGTAGCACAGTTGGCACCAGATTGGGGCTGCTC